ATACCCCTTGGAGGCAACCAGTATCCGCAGCCTGGTCTGTACTCTGTTAGAAATAATTTACACATGTTGCTGCTGTTAGCAGCGTCTCTGCCTTGGATTTGCTTCCTGCAAGGACAGAGCACTCCTCCACAGGACTCCCCAGCCAGAAATCTACAGTAGCAAATCACCAAGCCTTTCCTCCCACCAAGGAGCCTGGTGGGGTAGCGGTTACATGTTGGGTGAGATCGCAAGGTCAGCAGTTCTAAACCACTAGCCACTCCAAGGGAGAAAGACAGGGCTTTTTACTCCCATCCACCGTTAAAATCCTGCGAAACTCATAGGGCCCATTCTACCCTGTTCTGTAGGGTCACTGTGAGTCCATGCCGACTCGATGGCGTGAGAGTTTCTCCCATGAAGCCACTAGTAGGTTCACACCACCGACTTGGCGGTTAGCAGCTGAGCATTTTAATCACCGTGCCACCAAGGCACCATAAGCACAGACATGTTTTTCGCCTTCTTGTCATCCCAATCCGTACACACTGTAAACACTGCTTCACACCTTGCTTTTTTCACAGTAGCAGTCTATCAAGGGGGTAGCTCCATATTTGGGCATAGAAAGACACTTGTGTTTATGGTGGTTTTTTTTTTTTAGAAATGCCATATTTTATTTAACCCTCCGATGCTGACAGGCACTGGACTTTCCATCAGTAAAAACATTCTTGGAGGAGAATTCCACACATGTGAGAAGACGTCAAAGAGTGTATAGGGGAAAATCTGTTATCTTTTCATTTCCATTTTTTGCAGGAGCTTTTTGAAGCCCCGTCTGTCATCCATGACTGTTTCTTTCATTCTGTGGATGTGTACTTCAGATCTACTCTTAGGCTCTGGGGGTGCAACGTGAGCCTGCAGACCCAACTCCCAGGGAGCTTCCCGTCACACAAGGGACCACACATACAGGGAGATTTTAGAAAAGGGTGATGATAAGGGCACAGCAGTATTGTCGAATTGTAAGTGTGGATGTGGTCTTATGAATGTTTTGTTGTGTGTACTTTCGCAGTTAAAGCTCAACACGCATGCATTTATGCATACGGGGGCAGGAAAATAAAATTAAAAGATCATGAAATTTTCCCTCACACTGTTTTGAAGTCCCCTCTTAACAACTGGTTATGGCTGGTGAAGGATTTACAGGACAACAAGGCAGGGGTCACAACTAGCGGCAGTCATGTAGAGCTGCCACCCCACCCCACCCCACTGGAGTCCACGCAGACGACTGAGATATCAGGACTGAGGCCTCCTGGGAGATTTGAATCCCAGGGATCAAATTGTTGGGGATTCTAAGCAAAATACTATTCCCGATATTTTTTGTGGGGTGGGGATGACTCTCCACGCGCGCACACCTTGCCAGCACCTGTTGCCTTCAAGTCCCCTCCAGTTCCTTACAGCCCCATGTGTCAGCAGAGCTGTGCTCCACCGACGTTTCAGTGACTGATACTTTCTGGAAGTAGATTGCCAGGCCTTTCTGCTGCAGCCCCTGTGGGTAGCTTTCAACATCCATCCTTTTTAGTTGGGAGTTGTGTGTTAACTAGCCATGTGTACCATGCAGGGAGTTGCACTCCCAAGATGAGTGTTTTGCAGACTTTTCCCCTGTTACTACTCACTTTTTTTTTCTTGCCCTGTACCTTTTTCCCGCTAAGTCACCCGTTTTTTCTTTCCCTGCACCTTCCCGCCCTCCCCCCAGCCTTACCCCCCAAATCATCCACTCCTAATGAATTTGTAAAACCACCGGTAGAACGTGTGTTTTGTTAGGGAGCCCTGTGGAGTAGACTAAGCGTTGGACTGCTAACCAGGGGGCTGGCATTGGAGAAGGCCCAGGCCGGCATCTTCTGTAAAGACTCACAGCCTCGAAAACCCTATGAAACAGCTCTGTTCTGCTCGACAGGATCTATGAGTGAATCAACTCACAGTGGGCTTGATTTATATGCTGCGACCCTCTGAGGGTCACCTGCCATTCTAGGATCTAAGATTCCCCACCCTCATAGAATGTGGTATCTCCCCCACGCTGGTTCTCTGTGTGGGTGCTGGTGAAATTAGTGACCATGATGTCTTGGGGGAATCTCTGAATTTGAAACCAGAGCAGAATTGGTTGTTACTGTCCCACTCCGTCTAGTGGCGTGTACTGGGAATCTTCTCTGCATGTAGAATTAGTTGGTGGTCAGGAGGTATGGTGATTGGAGAACAAGCTGTGAACAACAGGGGTTGGGGGCAAGGTGAGGGCCCAAAAGGAAGGCTCTTCTGTTCCCTGCCCTGCTCTACACTCCCGCAGTGCTGTCTTTTTCCTTAACATCCTGTCGATGTGACAAGACGTGTATTCCAGCACGGATGGGTGTCCGAAGGTAATGTTCTTCAGTCATTGACTGGTGCATCTTCGTAGCAGCCTTTCATGATCACTTACTTACCGCACATCATAGAAACGGTGCAGAGGGCCACCCACGCCCCTAAGGGTCAGTAGCCCTTCATATACCTCCTTCCCCTTGTACCATCATGTGTCAGAACCTCCCCACCCCAATGCCTCTGTGGGATGCATAATATCCCGAGGTGGCAGAGAGGGTTGCATCCTGGATGCCCTTCTCCCTAGAGGCTGAGCACTCTCGGGGCTTTGTCCTCACTGCCTGCCGGGTCCCCAGCGTGGCACATGGCCCAGGGTAGGGACTCAGCGACCCTTTGATGGAACAAAGGTTGATGGGATGATTAGACTGACAACAAATACACTTACACATGAGTGAGAGGACCTTAGGCCCCTCCTGTCTTCGGGATCTGCCCACTGCCCCCCTGTAGGTTCCAAATTGCTGAAGCTACTGCTCCCAAGGTCTTAGACATCACCCTAAAGGCAGACGATGTCATACTCTCCCAGCCTCCAACATGCTCTGCCCCCATTTCCCTCTGTCTCCTCATCCTGGGTGGGCCTCCTCTCCTGCACCGTCTTCACATTGTGTGAGAAAGTGTATGGGAAGCCCTGGGACGAGCCACAAGCAAGTGCTCCATCCGCATTGCTGTGCTGCTGCTGCTGCCTACTGAGCTGTTCCAACCCTTGGCGACCACATCTATAACAGAGCAGAGGACCTCTCTCCGGCCACCGACGGCGCATTCGAGGCTGCCGTTTTGGTTATTTGTGTCTGTTCATCTCCCGGAGGGCTACTCTCAAGCTTGGCTGACCCTCCACCATGACCATTCCCTTTTCTACCCATTGGTCTTTCCTGATGAATGGTCCAAAATAAGAGCCAAATCTCACCTGCCTCACTTGTGCGGAGAGTGCTGGTTGTGTTCTTACACTGATGGATGTATCCTCCATGGTATACTTCGCCAACACCACAGTGTGAATGCAGTGATCCTTCTGCCTCTGGATACCAAGTCTACATTCCCCATGCATTTGCTTTTTAACTGCCTCACATCTTGTCTTTGCTTTTCAGCTCCAGGGTCTGAGCCACAATGTGATCTTCACCTTGGATTCCTTGTTAAAAGGAGACTTAAAAGGAGTCAAAGGGGTAAGTGTTCAGAAATTTGGTTTTCATTTAAACTTGAAAGAATTTATTCTTTTCCTTTTAAGCACATAGTAGTGCTTGTAATCTAAAAGCACTCAACATTGTTGGCATTAAAGAACGATTCTTGGAAATAAATCATTCAGCAAATGAGCCATTTCTTGTATACTGACAGAGGACCTGGGGCCACAAGATTGCTGTGGGGTTGGGGCCAGGGAAAAGCTGAAGCCTGCCTGGGCTCCATGACTGGCGACCCTCGATACCGTGAACAAACCCCTTAGAGCAGCGGTTCTCAACCTGTGGGTCGTGACCCCTTTGGGGATCAAAGACCCTTTCACAGAGGGTGCCTGATTCATAACAGCAGCAAAATTACAGTGATGAAGTAGCAACAAAAATCATTTTATGCTTGGGGAGGTCACCACAACATGAGGAACTGTATGAAAGGGTCGCGGTTGAGAACCACTGTCTTAAGAGCTTTAAGGCCGGCGACAGGCTGCGATGCAGAGATGCATGTTGGTTAGAGTGTGACAGTCATCGCCCTCTCCTCGGGTTCACTGGCCCCTGGTCAACCCCAGTCTGAAGAGACTGACCGTGAATTGGGAGATATTCCGAGGAGAGTGATGGAATCTCAGGCCCAGCCGCTCAACCCCATAACCAGCTTCCTCCTCATTGGGGCGGGCACACCCAGAACACAGTGGGTGAGCAACTGCCCACCTGGCACAGCCTGGGACACGTGTGTGTAAGGAGAAACCTAGTATACAAGGAGGCTTCAAAAATTTTGTGGAAAATAGGAGTTTCAAAGCAAGTGGAATTCATTTCAAAACCTTTTTGAAACCCATTGGTTATTGGATTCAGTAGGTCAGTGTCAGGTGCCCACTAGGGGTCCTGAAAAGTAGTCCTTGTGGATGGATAATGGGGGAGCTGCTGTATTTCAAAATTATTGCATGACCTTAAGCCAAAGTGAATGCAGTTTCTCTTTTTCTTTACTAAGGATCTCAAGAAGCCATTTGACAAAGCATGGAAGGATTATGAGACAAAGTTGTAAGTGTGTTTGTTTGGCTTTTACTGTTACCATAATGAAGATTTAGCTCTTATACAACCACCTCATTGTCTTCTTTCCCTTATGCCCAAATGGTCACCACAACCCTGTGGGGTATCTTTTTTAAAAAAATTGTTGTATTAGGGGCTCATACAACTCTTATCACAATCCATACATACATACTTGTGTAAAGCACATTTGTACATTCATTGCCTTCATCATTCTCAAAACATTTGCTCCCCACCTAAGCCCGTGGCATCAGCTCCTCACCTTTTCCCCTCCCTCCCCGTTCCCCCCTCTCTCACAAACCCTTGATAATTTATAAATTGTTATTTTGTCATATCTTGCTCTATCCGACGTCTCCCCTAACCCACCCCTCCGTTGTCCGTCCCCCAGGGAGGAGGCCACATGCAGATCCCTGTAATCTGTTCTCCCTTTCCAACCCACCCTCCCTCCACCCTCTCAGTATTGCCACTCACACCACTGGTCTTGAAGGGATCAGCCTGGATTCCGTGTTTCCAGTTCCTATCTGTACCAGTGTACATCCTCTGGTCTAGCCATATTTGTAAGGTAGAATTGGGATCATGATAGTGGGGGAGGAGGAAGCATTTAGGAACTAGAGGAAAGTTGTATGTTTCATGGTTGCTACATCACACCCTGACTGGCAGGTCTCCTCCCCGAGACCCTTCTGTAAGGGCATGTCCAGTGGCCTACAAATGGGCTTTGGGTCTCCACTCCACACTCCCCCCTCTCATTCACTATGATATGATTTTTGTTCTGATGCCTGATATCTGATCCCTTCGACACCTCGTGATCGCACAGGCTGGTGTGCTTCTTCCATGTGGGCTTTGTTGCTTCTGATCTAGATGGCCGCTTGTTTACCTTTAAGCCTTTAAGACCTCTGTGGGGTACCTTTTCATGAGTGTAGAAATACACACCTGCGCCTCACTAGGTGACTGCCTCAGGAACAGATATTTCACAGCTTCCAATACGTGATCTTCAACCAAACCTACTGCCCTCAAATGATTGCAACTCAGAGTAACCCTATGCAGCAGTGCTTCCCAATGTGGATGTTATGCCCCCAGAGGATGGGAACTCTGGAGTGGTTCAGAGAGACTGCAAAAGCAGATACCTCCACGTTATCCTGGATGATGGGCTATATATAGCATGGACAGTTTTAATTGCCAGGGTGCACTAAATGATTTTTTTTTCCCCTGAAAGGGAGGTGGTAGGCCAATAAGTTTGGGAACCTATGCTATATAGTTTTCAAAACTAGAAACCTTTGTGAGAATGGACAGCGTAATCTTTCACAGAATTTAATAGTTGATGTGTTTGAACTGCCAACCTTGTGGTTAGCAACCTATCGCACCGCACACACCACCAAGGCTCCACAGTAAATAGTAGATTATACTGGTGGGGGGGGGGGGGAGTACCTGTCTGGTTTGCACATGAACCACACACAGCTGGCAGTAACAAACACCACAGTGCGAATGAGGAGGGCCATGGCAGTTGAGGTTGGGCCACGAATGACATCAGTGGTTTAGGAGTTAGGCAATGATGGATTTGGCAGTTGCACATTTGTGGCAGTCCTCTGTGTTGTGATTTGATGTGGTCATCCCCCATTTTCACGTGATTCCGATTTCCACATAACCCAGTCTTTGGAGTCCCTAACCATGTGATTCAGTGAGGAATGCATGTTCCTCATCAGCCAGAATGATGTCTTGGGATTTGTTCTTGTTGCTGCTTTTTCTTAACTGATTAATCACCGTGTTCCTTCACTTATTTAATTTTATGTGAATCTTTCATTAATTTCATCTATGACAGATGTTAAACACCTGCCAGTAATCGGTGTTTAGAAAAGGCATTATATGTGTCATGATAATGCTGTGTATGAATAGCATGTAGTAGCAGTTATATGTTTGTCACCATGACATTAGCCGTGGGGTCTGTTCTCTCCCAGAACACCCCCTGCTCCCCGCAGGACTGCCCCTTCTCTCTCTCTGTTGTAGATCTTGACTGCCTCTGTCCTGGTTTAGTTCTGTCCTGTGGGGGAACATTTTCCTCCGTAGTTTTCAGGGAACAGCTGTAAAAAAGGGGGGGCTGGGGAATTCAGGCCTTATTGTTGTTAGCTGCCATGGAGTTGATTTCCTGCTTAGTCACCCTGTGCACAAAAGAAGGAAACACTGCCTGATCCTGCACCATCCTCCGCTGTTTCGTTTGAAGCCATTGTAGCCACGGGTCTTAGAATGCCCAAAATGGCTACATTCTGCCACCACAGGAGAGGAGAGGCGAAGTAGAAAATACTGGGGTTTCTAATCATTTCTTGAAAATGTTGAAGGAATTGCTTCATGGTTTCTAAGGCTCCGTGCTGATGAAAATTCTTGTTCCCGTGTCTTTGTATGTGACTTGTTGGTTGGTTTCTTGTAGCAAGACAGCATTAGCTTCCCGACAGGCTCTGTGACGTCTCATCAGTGTGCCTGGGGTCTGCATTCCCCTTCAAGTCGCAGTTTCTGGGCTTGGAAAGTTTTCCTCCAGTTCCTCCCTTGTTTCCTTTTGTTTTCCTCTCCCTAAAACTCCTCATTGTATTAGTGGGACTTCTAATGAGTTCTCTGACCTGTGTTCTTGGTCTTGGTAATATTGTAGGTTATCTTTGGTGTGTTTTCCCGCACTGCAGTGAACTGTTGATTTGATGGTCTCACTCCACATTTCTCCATCAGGTTTTTGTATTGGTTTTTGTTGTTTGTGTTCCCACCATTTCTGTAGTTTCTTACTCTTATTTGAAGGATGCAGTATTTTATTTCTTAAAAATGTACAATACCCTCTTACTACATAGTCCCTGCTTCCAACCTTGGCTCGTCCAGAGCTGCCCTGTCCCTCAGCCCTGCGCAGTGACTGCGTGCGGTGGTGTTCTGGAAGCTACTAGGCAAGAGAAGGAAGGGGTAGGAAGTCCCAGAGTGCTCTTTCTCAGTCTCCTCCCCTCCAGCCCTCTGCTTGCAAATAGTTCTTAAATCTTCTCATCCATGTTTGTCTCCTAGCGGCCTCACCACTGGCATGTTATCCCTGCCGGATGCCTGTGCAACCCTTTTACTGGGATTGCTGTGGACAGAAGAAGTATAACGCAGGTGGTCTTGCCCCGTGTCAAACCCCAGCCATCTCGTTGTTATTGAGCGGTCCCTGCCTCCAGTACTTCTTCTCAAGCCGCTCTTCCTTCCCTCCCACAGTGAAGGAGCTCTGCTCCGACGGTGTTCTTCCCTTCCTGGCTAAACCCCTGCCATGTTGCCTCTTGGCCTACCAACGCGTCATGATTAAAGACTTGCTGAGCTATAGCATTAGGGGATTAGAGTGAATCCCAACCGCATTTGTCGTCGAATTTCCATTGGGCTGAGGGGCTGATTTTCCACAGTGCTTATGTAAAGACAAGGATGCTGTCTATATCTGGGGTTTAGTTCCCCACCACCACCACTTAAAAGAAGACTCGAAGGCTAGATCAATTCATTCTTGCAGTCACAACTAGAAATTACAGGGTGCTTTTGAAATTAGAAGTCTGTTTTCAAGTTAATGGACTCATGGAATGAGGGCTGTGATTATTGGTGTTATTACCACAGAGTATCAACTAGCCTGGCCAAGTCATAGCCTCAGGTGCTGTATGTTTCATGTGGGCTGGCCTTTTTCCTTCCCCCTTCCCTCCTGGCCCTTCCCCCAACTGAGAGGCCTTCCCATGGGAGCCCCAGGGCTGCCTGGAGATCTCTTTCAGTCCCTGTTTTGTACAGCTCACTGACACTCGGTTAAGGGTGAAGAGGTACTCCTGAGACTGCTGTCAGTCCCTGTGGCAGAGGGTGGTGTGCGATTGAGGACTGAGTATTAGAGGAGTATTGGAAATCACCTGTAACCAGATTCTAGGCTATGCATACCCACAAAAACACACTTTTTGCCATTATGGTCTTGAAATAATTGAGTCTCAAAATCAATACTCAAGGAATGTCTCAGATCCCTAACTTCTTGACGCTCCTTAATCACAGTGCTGCGCCCAGGAACAGGTCAATTAGCTGATTGTTTACGTGCCATCCAAAAAGCTGGGGAATTTATGTGAATCCATTGAAGTGTAAGATCAAAGTTAAAATGTCAGAAGTTTCCTAAATGAAAACCCATGAAATGAATTCCCTTTTGAACATAGATTTTGGCTTCTGAATGGTGCTGCCAAGTGCCCTTGTCTCATAACTGTAGTCATCAGGAAATCTATCGAGTGAGGCCTGGTTGGGGTAACCCATTAGCCCATCCAGTTGCTAACAGAAAGGTTGGTGGTTCACGCCTACCCAGATTCAGCCCAAAAGAAAGGCCTAGTGATGCCCGTCTGAAGAATCAGGCCCTGGACATCCTGTGGAGCCTCGTTCTCTCTCCAGACACACGGGGTCACCTAAGGGATTTGGTGCTGCAGCAGACCACGGGTCATTTGTCCCTTGGCTCTGGTTGGGACAGATGTGAGTGTGCGTGGGCGTGCGTGCCCGTGTGTATTGTGCTCTGACTGGCGGCTTCTTCCTTGGTTACAGCACAAAAATCGAGAAGGAGAAGAGGGAGCATGCGAAGCAGCACGGCATGATCCGCACCGAAATCACAGGTGCAGAGATAGCGGAGGAGATGGAGAAGGAGCGCCGCCTCTTCCAGCTGCAGATGTGCGAAGTAAGAGCGGGCTCCCCCTGCCAGCGCCCTGGTGGCTTAGCGCCTGTCTTCCGGGGCCTTCATTCATACCTACAAGCAGGCTGGGGATGACTGTTAGAGGAAGGGGCCGTTTCTTGACGATGCTAATCTCCCACTTCTCTCCATGCCTTTTGGGATCCACCATTTCACTGTTGTCTCATATCCAGTGCTTTGGTACCATGGGGCTCTTTAAGGCCAAACAGGATTTTTTGGTGAGAACCTTGATGTTGTTTGTGAGTGGTTTCGGGGTGGGGTGAGGGCTGGGAGGGGCTGATGGAGTGTAACTTGGTGACTATTAAGTTTTAGTGGTATCAGTTCAGAGCATGGGTTCTTTAATTTTGTTTTTAACCACATGTCCAGTTTGAATGGAAGCTCGAAATAAGTTGTTGTTGAGAAAGTGAATGTGTGGCTTTCATAGGAAAATGTGATGGAAAGTGTGGGAGCTTAAACCAAGCAGGTGGTTGGGCACCAGCTCTCCTTGACCTGAAGGCTCATTTGTTCTGGTGCTGAGACTTTGAGAAAAGGGTGGCACAGGTTTACTTAATGTTACGTGCTTGAACCCCTTCACACTGTCAAGCAAGTTAGCAAGAGGTAAAGAAGTCTGCAGAAAATGTTTTGTTAACCCCTCCCACTGATGAAGGGCTGTTTGTTTGTATTCTTCATCTTTCATTACCAAGAAGTAAAAATTCTCTAAAGATGTTTTAAAGAGCTCTCCAGAGTTGTCACTACTCCATGATAAGGGGAATGCGGTGCTCGTGGAGCATTTCACCACGTGAGCTTTGAAGTTTGAGATTCCCCTGCACCAGCCGAGACAAATCACGAACTGCAGAATGTTTTGCAGTGTTTTCCTTCTGCCTGTCTAGTAAGCTAACCTTACGGATTCCAATGCTGCTTAATACTCTTAACACATGAGCTTGTCTTGGGTGACTTTCTGCCCTGCTGAGCCTACCTGCCTTTAGACCACTCACACTGTCCAGGGGCCGTCCAGGCACACTCGCTCGTGCAAATTAACAGTCAGGGTTCTGCCTCCCATACCCGTGGCAGAAGAGCCTTGTGTTGAGTGAGCAACGGAATGTCCTTTTTTGTTTCCACAGTATCTCATTAAAGTCAATGAAATCAAGACCAAAAAGGGTGTGGATCTGCTGCAGAACCTAATCAAGTATTACCATGCACAGTGCAAGTAAGTAGAATGCCTTGACTTGCCTTACCCCACGGCCCTTCCCTCAGTTGCTCTTCTTCATTCTCTTCCTCCTGTTCTCCACCTGGTTTCTCTCTAGAGAGTCTGTGACCCATAAACACAGGCAGAAACAGGACTGCCCTCCATCTTCAGTGTGTGGTGCTAATCAGGAACTCCCACTATGGTGACTGCCTACTCTTTGAGAATGGTGTCTTACAACTACAACAGACTTGGCTGCCACAGCCTCTGAGCCCTTTGTGCAGGTGCATGAGTCTCTGTCATAAGGGACCTTCCTGGTGCTCCCCTCTCCTCCCTCACACATCCTGTAATTGGATTATTTATTCCCATGTGGAGTTGGTTTTTCATCAGCTGAATGAAACCGGAGACTTCAGGCCTTAAGAACATCTTACACTGGTACTTGGCTTCATGTGTACTTGGCGTCAGATTTAGAGACATGGTTCCAGGCGGCACCATTGTGGTTTGCTGCCGGGTCGATCCACCCAGGTTTCTGTGGCGCTCTGTTAGTTACCCACTTCTTAGTGTAGACCAGCAAGCTCAACGTCATCAGTCATTAAAGAAGGGCACAGTGAGATGCTGCTTAGCTCACATTAAGATTACTATAATTTAAAAAGACAAGATGTTAAGTTTTGACAAGGCTGTAGAGAAATTGGAACCCTTGGACACAACTGATAAATTGCTATGGTCACTTGAAAAGCAGTTTGGGGGTTCCTCAAAAAGTCAAACAGAGTTATCATATGACCTGACCTTTTCACTCTGAGGCATAGACCCAGGAGCAGGGGTCCTCAAACTATGGCCCGCGGGCCACATGTTGCCCGCCGAGGACATTTATCCAGCCCGCCGGGTGTTTTTGCCCCGTTTGTCTTTTTAACTTCAAAATAAGATATTTGCAGTGTGCATAGGAATTTGTTCAGTTTTTTTTTTTTAAACTATAGTCTGGCCTTCCCAATGGGTCTGAGGGACAGTGAACTGGCCCCTGTTTAAAAAGTTTGAGGACCCCTGCCCAGGAGAATTGAAAACATGTGTCCACATGAAATTTTATACATAATCTTCATCATAGATGCATTATTCATAACAACCCCAAAGTGGAAGCAACCTAAATCCCCATCTACCAGTACATGGATAAACAAAGGTGATATATCCAGAGAGTGGAATATTATTCAGCCATATAAAGGAAGTGCTAACTCAAACTATAACACCTAGCAATAAACCAGCAGTACTGGTGTTTGGGGTGGGTGGGAGGGGATGACACAACTGTTCTAGAATTAGGTTGTGGTGATAGCTAAACACCATTGTGATTACTACTAGAAACCACCAAATTGTGCACTTTAAAATGATGAGTATTGGTAACTTGAATTTTATCTGTTTCTTTAAAAAGCCAGACAACAGCATGGACCCAGTAAAGATCCAGGCTCCCAGAACTGATAGCTAGAAGGCGATGGAGCCAAGTCTTGAACGCTGATCTCTTTAACTGGAGTTCATGCTCTTTAAAATATGTGAGGTTTGATTGGTAAAAGCCTGCGTTTAGGCCTGGACATGTCTGCTTTGAAGAATCTTCATGTGTGAGCACAATACACCACACTCTGCCGGCTCTCTGACCTGAATTGCCAAGATATATTTGAAGTCAGTAACTTACACCAACCCCTGGCTGCTCAGGTGACTTGGACACACCAGGACGCATGGGATGTGGCATATACCCGAGAGGAAATGATTCCACATTGCCTGGAATCCTAGAATCAATAGCTAATTTAGTCAAAGCCTGGACCTTGCCAATCAGACTTTCAGACGAGGTTGATGGTTGATTTGTTGATGGGTCATGCTATTTATTTATTTATCTTGTGAATTTGCTTTATAGTTTGGAAAATAATCTCCGTGGTCCTCTAGGGCATTCTAACTTCTTTTGAAAATGATAGTCTGCGCTGAGCCTTCCAGCTTTTGGCCAAATAATGCCTCTTTCTAAGCCAAGCCAAGCAAAATATGTGATGGGGGATTCAGGAGACGCCCTGGTCTATCTGTTTCAAATTGAAAACAGAGCAAGCTACTCTGTCTCCCTTCCCGTGACCACTGAGGCAGAAGAGAGTGGGTGTCAAGATGAAGGGGAAGGCTGTCTGGACAGACCCACGTCTCCGGCTGCCTGGGCACCCCACTCGGGCTAGTGAGGATTCTGGGTCAGGCTGAGGAGGTCGTGTTGCCTTTTGGCTTAGTGATCTCGTTAGAGACACAGAGCTTGAACCTCGTTGTGGGTGTGCTACAGCTCGTCTCGACAGATGTGAAGGCTCCGATGCCTCCCCATTATCCTCGGATCCTGTGTCATTCCACTGTGGTAATTACGCCCTTGCGAGCTGTGTATCCAAAAGTGAAGCCGCTCCTGTGGTCACCAGGGTCTGCAGGATTAGACTCTGGTCCTCAGGTGCTAAATCCTCCCCATTGTCTGGCATCTTAAGGATGTATCCCCAGTGCTCCCAAGATTACCCAAAGGGACACGGACCATATTTCTCACAAATAACGTGCACGTGTGATTCACATGCCGACCCATACAACACAAGACAATTATAGCACGTTTACTAACGTGGTGCCTTGGGGAGGGGGTTTCAGGATTGGGCAAAAGCCATAGAACATGCATATTATTTACATAAGAATACAGTGTATGTATGAGGACACTGGGGCAGGAAATTAATAGATGGTGTGGTGATTAAGTAGTAGAACCAGAATCTGGCCAAGATCAGCTTGACTTTTTAATCACTTATGTGCTCCAGAGAGAGTACATTGATAGCCAAACTTAAACCCAGCTCCCAGCTCTGCCACTTGTTAGCTAAGTGGCCATTGCTCGATACACTCCTCAGGGGCTTCACCTTGCCCTTTGTCTGTCAGGGTTTATCATCATCATGGCATACTTGTTGGATTGAAATGGAACTTTCAAAAAGGTAGCCCATGAATTGTGCCCAGTCGTGAGTTGCATGCTAGCTTCCATTGTCGTCATTACTGTGACTATCATTGTCATATTCAGAAAATCTCCTTATATTCAGTAGTCACAGAGAAAGGAGAGTGGCCAGGGCACACAGGGGCTGTCAGAGAGGAGGCAGGAGAGCTAGCATGTCCACGCTAAGTAGCTAGCATGTCCACGTCCGTGTCATAGCTGGCATTTGTTCTCCCCATTCCCATTCCCGCTTCTTCAAACTCTGACATACAATGTTTAACTTTTCTGTGTCATCTCAAACGAAAAACTCCTTTTTCTTATTAAAGTATACCTTGTGTTTATGACATTGCTTAATTACACCACTCAAATTCCAGGTAGTTAATTCTTTCTCTGGAGCAAAGCGTTCCATTGGGATTTTCGGCAATACTGGTTGCATGCTCCTACTCGCTGCTGCTCAGTAAGGTCGCTGCTGACCACTGCAGCTACTGACCACTTGAAGTGTGACTAGTGAGACACTGGGAACTGCACTTCGTTTTGTTCATGTAAATACCTGCATGCAACTCGTTCCTGCCGTCTTAGAACGCCCAGACCTACAGCCAGTGCCATTGGAACTCCTGAGGTAGCTGAATTTCTCTTTAAAATGTGTGATTAAGCTCCCTTCACCTTGAAGGTCACCGTGAACCAAACTATGTGCCAAGGATTTGTGGCCCTCTGGGAAGGAAGAAACTTCTGTGGTGGACCCATCCCCCTGCAGCACACTGGAGCCCCTGAGAATTTCATAAGCGTTACCTGTGTGATGAGCCTTATTGTCCATAGGGCTGAGCTGAGACTGAGAGAAGTTGTGGGACTGGCCTAGGTAACTTCACTGAATGCTGATTCTAGGCCACCGCGCTCTGACCCCCAAACCCTGACAGCTTAGAAAAAGTCCTGGCGCAAGGTGTGCCCGGTCCCTTCCAAACCTTTCTCTGCACGTGATTGAAAATACAGGGTCAGGAGCCACAGGTGGTTTTTCTGAGGTTAACTTGGCTGCTGTACTCCTACCCCATTGGCAGCCTGTTTGTGCAAGATGCCAAGTCAGATCACACTTGTGAACAACCTGCTCTCTAAGGAGCGTTGCTGGCCACCCCAGGGCTGCCACTGAGGCCTGGGCACAGGCAAGTGAGGACCAAGCATTCCTGCTCCCTGACTGGTGGGCCAGGGAAGAGCTGCTTGGGGAGGTAGCACTGAGTCAAGTCTATCAGACAATCATGGGGGTGAGAACTTCCAGGCTGAGGGAATAGCATATGCAAAGGCTGGTGGGCATGGCGAGAAAGGAGGAGCAACCAGAAATTAGGGAGCATAACTACAGCACAGAGCTTTGAGGGAACGTGACAGAAAATAACTGGGAAGGTGTGTGAGCAGCTTGAACACGCAGGTTCTTTGACACTGAGCCCGAGGAGTTTGACTTCATCCTGATCAGTGGAGATGAAAACCTACTAGAAGATAACACTTTGCATGCTGTTTCCTAGTTAAATGAAGCTTTGCCCCAACACCCTCTTTCCTCCAACTTCCTGTTGCTAAAGATTCTGCAGGTTCCAATAAGTGCTCTGCTGAAGGGGTGAGCCTTGCCCAGTGGCAGAGCTTACAGGACCTCAGCGATCTCTCCGGTACCCAGTCCCTGTGGGCTATGTTGTTGCCATTGGGTTAACAGAGAAGCTTGAAAAAATGGGCCTCTCACAGTGTGCCCTTAGGGTTCATATATCAGCTTTGTTCAGAGCCATTTACCAGGCATCGCAGGCGAGGCTGTCAATGAGAAGCTGGTCCTGGAGGGAGGAAATAGCCTGGAGAGATGGCCTGCTCTGAGGACCTGGGTAGGGCAGCTGTTGGAATCGCAGAGGAATTCTCAATGGCAGCTTACCCAGAGGGCACTGTGTTTTTCTAGACTGATGTCCCAGATGGGGCTCCTGAGAGCAAGAGTTCAGCCTGAGGCAGACACTCCAAGCATGAGGCAGACCTGGATTGCACCCCTCAGGGTGGTTGTGAGAGTGAAATGGGGTGACCATGTGGAGGATGGAGCCATAGAGCTTGGGTTGAATGGATGGGTGGGTGGATGGATGCATGTTCCAGATAGCTCTTGTTTTTCAGGGTGAAATACCGCCACCTTAATGACGTGGTGGGATTGCTGCGCTTTCCAAATCCTTCAGTGCTGCTGATTTTAAATCCGTGTTTCAGGTTGAGTTGTTGGCAAACGGGACCATATTCAGATTCATGCCAACCCACTTATGTGCTCCTCCCTCCATTTCACATGTGACACTACTATTAGGGTAATTGTTCTGTGTGTAGATGGACATACACGTTCTAACTTGGCTGGGTTGAGACAGTAGCTATAATCTAAAACATCTGTGGTATCTGAAGATTCCCTGTTGGCACAGTGGGTTAAGTGGTGGACTGCTAATCCCAAGGTCAGAGCTTCGAACCCAGCAGCACCTCTGTTGTGGAAAGGTGAGGCTATCTGGTCCCATAAAGTATTTAGCATCTCAGAAATCTTTCTAAGGAGCAGTTCTACCACTGACTTGGAATCAACTCATCATGGTGGGTGGGATGTGTTACTTAAGAAGTTAATCATTGCAACGACTCAAACAACAATTGTGAGGATGCCACAGGCCAAGGCATTGTTTTCCTCATTTACACAGAAGGTCACCCTGAGTTGGAGCAGAATTGACAGCAATTAACCGCAATGTGGTACCCACTAGCTAGTGTAGTGTCAAAGGGTACCTAGAATGTCTTTGTTGGTACATCTTTATGTAGTGAAGTTAGTTTTGGAACTGTGTACATACAGGGGACACAGAAAGATAGCTTCAGATTTTGTAAGCTAATATGATTCCGGGTTTTGTTGTTTTGGTGTGTACACACACACACACATGGTAATTATCCTCTTGTTTTTCATTCTAGTTTCTTCCAGGATGGTTTGAAAACAGCTGATAAATTGAAACAGTACATTGAAAAACTGGCTGCTGATTTGTATAATGTAAGTTTTCCATCAACTACATACCTTCTAACCTGCTTTCACAGATCAATACACTTAATTACTAAAAGAATATTAAAGAAGTACATTTTTACATTGAAATAAGCCTTCTGAGAAGCCATCAGTGGCCAATATCCTGTAGCCTCCTTTGGCTCCGGGCAGGACAGGGAGGGACAGACACATAATCCTGGCTCTGGGTATTCATCTATTCAGGGTACAAGCATGCCCAATGTAAGTGCTCCCAAAGCAACTGTAGAAAGGATTGGATCCTAGGAGGGTAAAGATTAAGTGCGTCTCTCAAGTGAGAGAGGTTTATGGTTTGAGGGGTATTGGGGAGGCTTTTTTTATACAAGGGGGCTTGTAAAAGTTAATGGAAAAATTACATTATCTTTTAATTCCATTTTTTTACAAGCTTTTTGAAACCCCTTTTTCTTTTTCTCATTTCTTCTTTTTTTCCCTACCATGCAGGTTTCACAACTTGGTAATAGGAAAATCAAGTGTGAACTTATGGGGCACAGGGGGAGATGTATACGGAGAACTGATAGCTGTTTCCCATACACCACGTGGCATTGAATAATGAGTGTGCACTGTGACTGTAACAGCAGACTTTGATAGAGTGTTCCAATTACCTAATGTTACCACTAACAGTAATAATGATACCTATAGCATTTTTCATTTTTAATGTAACAGCATAGTTGAGAGTATAAGTGGCACCAGCTCCTTGTCTTCCTGGCATGCTTTGTAAACTTTCATGGATGCATTAGCATGCTAGAGTCCTCTCTCTCTCTCTCTCTCTCTCTCCTCTCTCTTCTCTCTCTTTTCTCTTTCTTCTTCTTCTTCTTCTTCTTCTTCTTCTCCTTCTCTCTCTCTCTCTCTCGTCAGTTGAGTGGAGGTTAACTGAGCAAACCAGTTCTCCATTCACTAACTCGTACACATCTCACTTCACACCATTGATGGCAGTGCCTACCACGCACCGTCACCCGTCCCACCCTTCCGTCGGGTCCCCCCTCCAGTGCTCTCTCCTAACATGTCTTGGCTTTGTCCCTGAGCAAGTGCTGTGCCCCTGTTCCCAAGTGGTGAAGGATTTAAAACATGTACCCACCCCCAACCCTCCAGATCTCCCTATTGCCTGCCCGAAAACTAAGCCACGGGACTGAGTTCAGGACCAGGCCTGAGGGTGGTTAAGGGCGGTAGTCTCGGGTTTCCACCAGATCGATCTTAAGGATTCGCTTCTGCCTGTGTCATCGCCTCATACTCTTCGCACGACCACCCTTTAAAGGCCTGGAAGCAAATGACTTCCTCGCCTTCTTTAGAACAATTTCCGAGTGGGTTTCCTAGCCCAGATGTGATATCATAAAGCCTAATGTGATTTCTCAGCTTACTGGTACTTTGATGAGGACATTGTGTCTCTCGTATAGGGGGAGGGTCTCTTGTAAGAACATCCGCTACAGAATTGACTTGCTGTTGAATTAATCTCCGCTCATAGAATTGTGAAAGATAAGTAATAGCTTTTTTTTCTTTCACAGATCAAACAGACCCAGGATGAGGAAAAGAAACAGCTCACTGCACTCCGAGACTTAATAAAATCCTCTCTCCAACTTGATCAGAAAGAAGTAGGTGATCTCTGTGTTTGCGCCAGCGCTGCGCTTTGTGCTGCTGGCTTCCTGTGAGGATGGCCGTGGGGTGAGGAAGATACAAGATGCGATTGTGGCCAGTGCAGAACCTGTGAGCCTCTGCCGTAGGCATTAGTCCAGCTTCCCACCTCCAGTCCAGGACTCTAGCCTTTCCTTCCCGACTTCTGCTGCACAAAGGACAAACTGTGACATGTGCCCATAGTTATTCTCTTTAGACTCTCCTTTTCGGGAAGCTAGAAAGGACTCGTTATTCTGCCAGGGAGATAAGGGAACCTGTTGATGCAGACTCCTCTTGAACTTGGAAAATAAAGTGAGATGGTCCCTGGACATGGAAGTGGGGTAAATAATGAACAGTAGATGTTAGCTGAGTGCAGTGTAAATCCTTAGAAAAGTTCATGTGTGCAACTAGTAACTGCTGTGTGACAAGGGGAAGGTGGAGCAGTGCTTAAGCACTCGGCTGCGAATCCCGGGAGAAGGATGTGACCCTCTGCTTCTGTAAAGATAACAGCCTTGAAGGCCCTGTATGGCACTTCTCCTGTCATGTGGACACCGAGTCAGACTCGTATCCGTGACAGTGGTGTTGTGAGGGCCCGGCACTGCTGTGTTGGTGGTATGAAGCCGACCAAGCACAGGAGCTTGCTAACATGTTGAGGCAGCCCTACGAACACCAAATAGAGCGCAGCGCCGACCCATAAGGGTTCTATTGGGAGGTGGTGTGAAGAGCAGACGGCTAAGAACGAGGGAGCAGGCATTCCTGGCCGAGAAGAGACTGAAGGGGGTTCTTAGGGAAAGTGGCCTGGGCCCGGAGGGTAGAAGTTTTCGTGATGAATTCAGACCAGCTGTCAAGGGCCTAGGAGGTCACCCGAAGAACCGGGACTTGCTCCTAAGGGATACTAATCCGTGAGCAGTTGTTAGATGACAGAGTCACAAGTGTGCCATGACAGATGACATTTAAACCATTTTTAAAACGCAGTATTTAATAGTAACCACATAAAATAGAGCATTTTTGTTACATTATCAGGTCTTAGGATTTTGTCTCACTCTGTCAAACTAAATCTTCTTTTACATCTTTCAGTGTTCTGAAAGGGTTTTATGAGCCTAAAACACGAAACCAGACCTCCTGTAGGAACTCCCACCAGCTGTGCCGCTTCGTTAGTGCTGCCTTGGAAGCTCTCACGGCTGAGCAACTGTAGCCCAGCGCATATATACACACACACTGGGCGTTCATACCGTATGAGGCTGGGGCCTGGACCACTGGTTACCCTGCCCGGTGGAAGGGGGCATCCCTGATCAAAGCCCACCCCTACCTTGTCGAAGTCATAACTGGAGCCTGCACCTGTGTTCTGAGGCCTCAGGCTGTATTTAGAACAACTTCTGAGTGTCAGACCCATCAGACCACAGACTAAACTCAGATCTGCTATACTCTGGAAGGTGTGTACCGCCAGATTACAAACCCCAGAAGTGGCCACCTCCATCAATGAGCAATAAAACCACAAGCCCAGTTGACCACACCTTCCTTCCAAGGTGTCACCGAATGGGCTAGAACCTCCAACCCTCCAGAGAGCAGCTGAGCACACTAACCATTTTCATCACCCAGGCACTCCTGTATAAGCAGTCTCAGAAGGCACTGCCATTGTGTCAGTTTCCACTCACAGTGGTCCTATGTGGCACAGCCCCTGGGGGGAGGGGAGGGTTCCAAGGCTACCAATCTACAGGAGCTGAAAGCCTGATCCTTCTCCAGGTACAAGCAGTAGAAACATCCAAATGGAGGGGTTAGGTGGGGGCTTTCTATCTTGGAAGAAATTTGTTAGGTTTTATGCTCCTGCCTGGTATTCAACCCCTACCTTTGTTTTGCCACATGAATTACCTCCTCCTACCTGCAAGTGGCCTTAAATCCCTCTTTGCTTTTCATCGATGAGGGAGTGTTCTGCTCATGGGTGCTCCGAAGGTGGAGGTATACAGAATGTGATTTAGTTTGACTCCACCCAAATTAATAAATGTTGAGTATTCATTAGCACCGTTTCTGGAGTATCTTACAGTAAAATTGACTTTTCACAGCCTGCCTTGCCCTCTCTCCAGCTCAGTTCCTGTCTCGCAGTGCAGTGGATCTCAAAGGAAGAGATGGTTAAGAAGAACTTGGGATAGATAGGAGAGGAGATGATCTATCAGAGTGCTGGCCACAGTGCTACTCCTTAAGGAGATTGTGGTGTAACGTAGGGAATGACAAATTAAAAGCACCAATGGCCCAAGTCGCCCACTGCCACACCAGTTCTGCCGGAAGCGTTGAGATTTGTCATTGTAGGTGGGATCCCAGGCTGCTCGGCAGACCCGTTTATTTTCTCGTCAAAATCAAATTAGGTCTCTTTGTTGTCTTTTGACAGAAGATGCATGCATTTCATTATTTTAATCTTTTATAACAGCCTAGCCTCCCCCAAAGAATTATTTGCTGCAAAGAAAGCTATGTTTATGGGAGAGAGTATGTTCTCCTCAATAATAATATCCATAGATCTTATTTAGGATATAGTAATCATTTCAGAATTCCAGCTCTGGCTCCACGTCCATGGATGGGACATCCGAGTAACCCATCCCAGTGCAGTTTGCCAGTTGTTTGAAAGCAGACACTCTCGTCTTCACAGTCTCTGTAAAGCTGCTTCATAAATATTTAGTGAGGTCAAATGAGATAAAGGGATTCTTGGCCCCCTCCCCATACCTTCCATTAGAAGTCGAAGCTTCTCTAACAGTGGCCTACTGTCAGTGCCAGAAACACTCATAACTGTGTTAGACCCATATGTGTAATTGCTTGCCGTTTAAAAAGATCCGAGACTTTACTCTTTAATAATACATTTCGTATGTTAATAAGGTTTTCTAATAAGAAAGCCAGGCAATTTGTACTGCTAATAGAGAATGGAACATTGAAATTAAAAACTAATGGCATGCTTTCACTGTATAGTTTTGTCTTTGGCTCACATGATGAAATTTCCCCCAAGGTTTTATTTTAAATCTGTTGTTTAGTCTTATATTTTTGCCTGAGTGAGTTTCCCATTTGCATTTCTCCTTCGAGAAAACAGTTCGATAACCATTTTGTGCTATCAAAAGATTTAGGGCCTATTTAGTTTTTTCTGTTGTGGGTTTTTTGTTTGTTTGTTTGTATGTTTTATTAGTTGCTAATAATTCTTCCAGGTCTACCTTCATAAAAAGGAAAATCCTCCTTTCATTTTTCTGGTGTCTTCCCCCCACCCACAAGAAAGCTGAATGGTTGTCATGTCTCCAATAATAGTGTCTTAGGCCAGAAAACTCATTCGTGGTGAATTGAGGAAGCTTGATGTTAGACTTGTGAAACCTGTTTTTTTTCCTGCTCGTTTAATGGAATGCATTTGTAAAGTCAAAGCCTAATGTTCACCCACCTTAATCATCTCGGAAAGTGTTACAAAGCATCTTCAAAAGCTTGTTTTGCCTAGTGATAAATACAAGCACATGTAAGGAATGCCTAATAGTAATTTTATAGATAATAATGTTTTTATAAGTTACCTGCTTCTGAACCCTTTTATTAAAAATCCTAGCAAGCAATTAGGTTCAGGCTGGTGGTAACAGATTCTCAACCTTGGAGTCTCGTGATTGTGTGAGGAAGCTTGGTTCCACGGAAAGGGTTCTAAGGAAGAAGGGTAATTCTTTCAACACCCAAGGGCATTTCAGATCCTGACTCCATCGCTGAGTACCTGTCACCCGGTGTCACCAGGTCAAGGCAGAAAGATTTGTGGATTTCGTTTCTCCCTGCCCCTGGTTGCCTTCCACAGCTCAGCTCCGCTTTTCTGCCCTCCTCCTCCCTTATGAGGGTTGCAGACACATTGCCTTCTTTAAACACACACAGCTCTGTGAGTGCTGTGGAGCATCGGCAGGAGGGCACCTGCAGTTAGAGGAAGCCTGCTCCTCTGAGTAGCTGGGATTCTGACAGCCCTCAGTTGTATCACCATCCAGAAGTCCAGGAAGGTCCAATCAGAAATGAAGGACCCCATGAGCCAGGTGATGGTAGAAATACAGATCCAGACTGGGTACCCTGCCCAAAGTTACCATGTAGGGAACTTTACGAGGAATTCCTCCCTTTAAGCCCACTCTTCCTACCTCTGGGTATAGTCTTAACATAGGTGAGTCAGCAGGCAGGACTGTGGCAGATTAAAGAGAGAAAATATTGGAAGTCAGAAAATGGTAGGGTTTGTCACCTCTAATGGGATTAAGTGTATCATCCTCTCTCACCTGCACAGGACAGACCAGTGATGTCACACTGCGAGCACCCACCTCAGAGATGGGCAGACGCTGCATTCTGGCTTCTTTCCTTAGTGCCTTTCCCTTTTAGAAGAACCTTACAAAGGTTTGCCTTTTGCTGCTGTGACATATACATTCACTGGGCACATGCTGTGTGGCCCAGAAGGACACAGAATGTCAGAAAGGAGCCGCCACTACCTAAGAGGCACACTGAGCACAAACCACGCGAGCAGGTGGTGGAGTCTCTTCAGCACCGGATTTCTCGTGTTACTTGAAATGTCAAGTCGATCCCAAGTCTTCGGGACCCTCCTGGACAGCGCTGAACTTGCCCGGAGGGTTTCCAAGACTAGTCTTCTTGCTAGGGAGCAGTGTGGGGTGGGTTGTACCACCGACCTTTCTGTCCGTTAGCAGATGAGTGCTTAACCACTGCACCACCAGGGCTCCTCTGCATATTTTTTGTATGTTCTCTTAGAGAAAAGACGGAGTCCGCCTGTAATTTGTGATTCTTCATCAACCTCTTTCTTCAGCAAAGTTCTACTTTGTGGGTTTCACGGATGTGCCAGCTCCCTGTGCACACACAGGAGCCTTGTCATTTCATCTGGGGAGACATCTGCCTCATGTGCTGCCAGTCAGCCCTTTTTCTGCTCTCACCCAACCTGACCTGAAATACCCATATTGTATTATGACATATGTATTATGAGCAGTACACATATTTCTTCCTGTTAGATCCCCCCAAGTTTATTGCTGATTCCTGAGAGAGAGAGTGTGTGTTTGTGTATGTGGGTGTGGGTGGGTGTTTTGTCTGTTATTAGCTTTATAGTGATGTTCTCTACATGTGTTTTATATTAAACTGTTTAAGTAGTCGGGAGTAGTGCTTTCCAGTGGAATTAACTATGTTTTCAAATGTTCTGCCTCTCTCCTCTGCTCCCTTTGCCCTTCCCGATCGAAGTCTAGGAGAGTAAGTCCATGCTTTTTCTCAGACTATCTTCCTCCCACTGACTGAGCTCTATGAAGGCCTGTGTTCTTACTCCCCAGCGCCCCCATGTGCATTTCTTTCCCATATGTAGCGGCTCCTTCTTGCCACGCAGTCTCTAGGACTCTGGTGAGGAGCTAGCCCAGTGCTCCTGCTCAGCCCAGCTCATTTGCATCTGTGTTCGTGGTCTGGTCCTCCCCACCCCTTTCATCACACTTCAATGTCAGCATGACCCTTGTCATTCCCCTTCAATCACCTTTTCTCAGTGAAAGGTCTGCTTAGAAGTCCTGGTGACAGAGCACTTTTAGAAGATTGTGTAGTCATTCTCCACACTTACCCCCCTCCCCCCCCAGGGGTAGGGGGTGGGATTCAGGCCGAGTGTGTAAAGGGTGGGGAAGCGTAGCCAAAAGGAGGAGCATGCCCAGGCTGCATGCACTACATTTCATGGTCCACTTGAACCTCACCGGTATTGTCCATGTCTGCCTCTGAGCCAGTTTGCCTCCTGCAATGGTCTCCCCACATAGTGAGTGTGAGCCCAGGGCAGGAGAGCCGGCGCCCTGGGCCCTGGCTCTGTCTCTGCCCTGCTGGAAGACTTTGGCCCTTGCTCCTTTGTGTGCTCACAGTGCTGTGAGTGTCTTGGACCAGTGGGCAGGGGCTCGGGGCAGAATGGCGTCCAGCGTGGGAGAGTGGTCTCCGGTTCTTGTTCACTCAGCCCTTCTGTCCTAGGACTCCCAGAGCCGGCAAGGAGGGTACAGCATGCACCAGCTGCAGGGCAACAAGGAATACGGCAGTGAGAAGAGGGGCTACCTGCTCAAGAAAAGCGACGGGTATGTATTGGCATGTGCCCTGTGGTCCGGGGACTGGGGGCTTCCTCGGCCTGTCCAACAGGAGAGCATGCTACAAGGTTTTCTCAGGTGCTGGCTGGTCTGCACATCAGTCTGAGATGCTCCCTGCTGTCTTAGAAGTAGCAGTCATTCTTCTGTGGGGTACTAAGTAGGACAGATGCAAGCCCCTCCCCGCCTCATTTCAGACCTCATCCTGCGGGTCATCCATGATTCCTTTCCATTCCCTTTTATGACCACTGATCTAGCAACAAGCCCTTTCTTTTTAACTCCAAGCCCTGGAGTAGAGGAAGCTCGCTAGGGGCTCAGAAGAGGAGTCTAAGGGGCAGGCTGTGAAGTCAGGCTCCCTCCTGAGGCTGATCTGAAGTCGCTGCTCTTGTCTGAAGGAGATGGAGAGTCACTGGAGGGCTGGAGCAGAGGAGTGTGCCGCTGGCTGGCCCGGGAGGAGTGACCATGCCAGGTCTGAGCAGAAAGCGGGGGGAGTCAGAGATGGTGGCTGGGCTGGGAGTCGGTGACAGGTAGTGAGAAGTGACCAATTCTGGACAGTGCAGGGAGCAGGCCAGCAGGAGTGTCGAGAGAGCCCTTGGCACACACCTGGCTGGCCGTGCAGTGTCAGGAAGTACTGACATGTTGACAGTTTACTGGGTTCATTCTGCTGAAAAGAAAATCAACAAAGGCTGAAGTTACCAGCACCCATCACTTGATGCTGGCTCCTTAGAACTAGCCCAGGGAGCAAACCCTGGCCCAGCCTGCAGGGTGTGAAGCAACTGATACTTAGTGTGTAGCCCTATCAGAACCTCAGGCCCAGCACTCTTCCTGGCCCTAGTTACCTGCCTCCTGGTCAGCCTGGTCACCCGGTGTTGTGCTGGTACCAGGAAGGCAGGTTTGTGTTCCGTCACGGGCAACAATAAACTGATAGAGGTCTTTTGAAGAAGTATAGAACAGTTATGTTTTGGTCGTTTGGGGGGTTTTTTTTGTAACACTTCTCACCAAAAGCCACAGAGGTTTATTGAAACTGGCATAAGTTGAAGCAGCTAACCTCTCTACCTGAGAGCTTCCAAAAAATTCATGGGAAAATGGAATTAGAGGATGCTGGAATTTTTCCATGAGCTCTATAAAGCCCCATCGTATGTGTCAAGGAAGGTCAGCTGCGTTGTCCCAAAGGTGAATGTTTAGTTGAAACCCTAAAATGCTCAATGAGCTGACCAATGGTAGTCAGCTGCTGGGTGTGCCTGCCTCAGGCAGCCACGACCTTCCCTGTGTCCCGTCAGCCCTTTCACACACATTCCCAGAGATCAGACACTGGACTAAAATATACGACCAGTAAAGTCTGAAAGACCAGCCTCCACCTGGGCCTTCTGACATTAATGCTGCTTCTCTTCCCTTTATTTTCAGCAAGGTGCACACCCTTGGGGCACACAGGACAAAAACTGGCATAATGACCCTTACACACATGCACACACGCGCCTGGTTCCCCGTTCCCGTTCCTTTGGTCTATTCTCTCCTGCAGTCATCTCACACCTTTGTGTGAGCCCTCTGCCCTCTGAGGCAGTCTCCCAGAGGGTGAGTGAGACACATGGTGCTCACCCCCTGCCTTGCTCGCAATCTGCTGGGGAGAGAGAATGGAAAAGTCGTTGATGTTAAGAGTCAGCCTCCCCATAACGGCACAGGCAGCAGAACTGAGCAATGGGAGCCCACATTGTTGGTGTGTGTTCTCTGCGGAAGAGGGAAAGTTGAGGGGCTTACACATGAAGTCCAAAAAAGGCAGGAAAATTAAGTCTTAGTGACAAGTTTATCTCAAACAAACCAAAAAAAAGACATTCACTCGCTAGCTGCTGTGTTTCGTGATCATCTACGGAGGAACATTTGTGGTCGTAATTCTTAGCCCTTGCTTCGCAGTACTATTTTAATTATTTAAAAACTCTTGTTAATGCATTATGGCCCAAAAGCATTTACTGGGAGGCAAAGGAGCAATTTTCTTTTTAACTTAGGTTTTCTGGAACGGCTCCAAGAAAGGAAAGAAACACAACTCACTGCTACAAAATCTGTCCCCACTTATAGCTACCCCACAGGACAGAACAGACCAGCCCCTGTGGGTTTCTGAGCCTGTAAACCTTTATGAGCCAACAGCCTCATCTTCCTCCCTCGGAACAGCTGTTAGGTTCAAACTACTGACCTTGCAGTCAGCAACTCACCTGGTAACCCACCCACTGTGCCACAGGGCTCGGGGAAGAGGCATTCTGATCTTCGTGGCCATGTGAGGTGCCCCATGACAGTCACACAGCAGAGGGGGTGATGGCCCTGAGACAGAAACCCAGGGTGATGCATCTTCAAAGTCGGTGGGCCTTCATCACACTGGGCCACATTCTGATAGAAAGCTCCTCTTCTGGACCTCTGAGCTTCTGGCCTCCTAACTGGTGATTCTGTGAGCACCAAGTGGTGAAAGTCCTTGGTGTGTCCGTAGCCACATAGACAGAGCTCGGCACAAGAGACCACCATGGTGAGCCAGTCCCTAGACCAGTAAACCCATCCCACTGTTGTGGGGTCCATCCCGACTCAGTGACCCTGTAGGATGGAGCGGGTGGCTCCATCGGGTTTCTTAGACAGAAAACCTTCACAGGGACAGGCAACCTCATTTTCTTCTGAGGTGTCCCTGGTGGCTTTGAAACACCAGCCTTGCAGTTAGCACCCTAGTGCCTAAGGCACAGCACCACCAGGACCTCTGACTCCATAGCAGCCTCAGAAATAAAGGCTATCCAAGTCTTGACAAAGATTAGGCATGGCTGCTCTCCTTCCTGTAGCGATGGGGTGGTACCTTGTTAGTCTCAGGTCGGTGAAGGTCAGCATGCTACAGTGTTCCTTCCCTTGGCTTTCTTATCAGCAGAGCAAGAGACTATGTGTCCATGTGCACCAAGGCAGCTAATGAGTAAAGGCTTTGCTAAGTGGACTGACTGAGGGACACTTTGCTTTAGTCTGGTTAATGGAGTTTAACTAGCCTGGGGACAGAGGAGGCAGACACTGGTCTTGGGCTACCAATACCTGGAGCAACTCACCTAGATGCACAGGAAAGGTAGGAGCAGACAGCTTGTTCCCGTAACCAAGTGCAGGTGTGCATATTTGGCAGAAATCACCAAGAATCCTGCGTTTCCCTAGTTGGTAATCCCAGGAGGAGATGTGTGTGTGAGCTGTCATTGGCAGGTGACTTGTCACTGAGCAGCTGGAAACGACCTCCGGGGGAGCCTGGCCATGAGCGCAGTGTGCTGGCCAGGACATCTGGTGAGACGGTGCCACGGTCTTACTGCCTTCCCTGGAGCTGGCTTCCGAGTAAGCTCTGTTTCCAGCCGTCAAGGAACGACAGGATGTGTGTTTAGTGGTGGTTTCAAATCCGTGCTGCCACGGGCTGCTTGCAGGACTAAGTTAAAGAGGAAAAGGAAACACAAGATGATGCTATTTCAGATGCCTCAGAAAGCTGCAGCCAGCTCCTGTTATGTCACCTGTTCCCATGGCAACTCTAAGGCCTGAGCTAGCCTGGGGAGATACCTTGGCCTGCCCATCCTAGTGAGGATGCTCATGATCTCAGCTAGAGTGTGTGCGTAGCTGTCCACCTCATCCATGCAGTTGCTCACCTGTACCTGAGGGTTCACAAGCACACCCCCTCCACGGGGACATTGGTTTTATTTGGCTTTTTCCTCCCTCGGCCTCATCAAATCCAGCTGTCCAAAGTGCCCACCGCTTAGTAACCCTCAGATGGTTTTTCCACAGCTTTCTCCCAGGGCTCAGAGCCCTGCCATGGTTTGAAAGGTTGCTACAGGGGAAAAAATGATACGGAAGAAAGAAAGGCTGCTACAGGAGTGGCGACCAAGTTTCCAATGATGACGGTGACACATTCATGAGTCCCAGGCCCCGAGCTACTACTTCTCTATCCAGAGGCTGCTGTCCCGATCCCATCTCCCCTGAGCTAGTACTTTCTTAAATTTCTTAAAATCTCATTTTAATTACATCTTTCTCCCTTGGATCAGCGGGTGAATTTGCGATGCTGACCTTGCAGATAGCAGTCCAGCACTGACTGGACTGAGGCGCCTCTGAATTACACAAGAAATAGATGCAGCAAAGACGTGGTTATTACTTAGCAGTAGGAACCTCCAGTGCCCACCGGCCCCTCATCTCAGAGGCTCTGCCTCTCTCTGGGCCCTCAGGCATTTCTCTATGCCGCTGCACTGAAGAAAACAGCCCCCACTCATTTAGACAGCGGAATGGTGTTGAGTTGGGGTTGGTTGGTGGTTTTTGTTTTTTAACATTAGTAGACCTTATTTGAATATCATTCCTTAGTCATTATCCAACTTTCACATGCGCGTGGGGTGATTGAAAGTACCAGGGCTTAGGTCAGGCACACCCTAGCCCTCAAAGTGGCATCCTTACTCTTCAACACTAGAGAGGTCTTCTACAGCAGATGTTACTGAGAGGCCAGTCCCTGGAAAAGGACATCAGGCTTAGTAAAGCAGAAGTCAGTGAAAGAGAGGAAAACCTGACTGACACAGGGCTTCAACAGTGGGCTCAGACAGTGATGGAGAGGAGGATGGCACAAGGCCGGCCACTGTTTTGCTGTGTTGTGTTGTGCATACCTGACTCCAGAGCACCTTATGATCGCTTGCTTCGGCCAGTCAGTGCTGTGCTTTAGAAGTGAGTGTACCGCAGCACAGACGCATCATCCGTTCTTCTAAACCAGTGTTTTCCAGAGTGGCAAAGCCACCCCTGCAACAATGTGGGGGGTGGGGGGAGACTGCAGAAGCAGATATCTACACTATCGTGGATTATGGGCTATAGTACAAAAGTTCTTCATGCCAGGGAAAAGCTGACTGACTTTTTCCTGAAAAGGGGAATAGGCCAAATAAGTTCAGGACCCATGTTCCAGATTCTTCTATGGTACTCTGATGCATGAGTTTAATGGAACCATTTTCCTGCCTCGAGATTTCTGTTGTTTGCAATGTTCAGTCCCAAAAGCAGAATCATCGTGCGTGTCTTTGCACCTGCCTTCTTGTCCGAGATCATAAGCGATGACCAGAGTGACCGGCTTTGTGGGCTGGTTGTGTGGTTGTGCCTTGCGGCCGGGTGGTCACCTTTGCGCTCTCAGGTTGTTTGCCTCATTCCACAGGCTCCGGAAGGTGTGGCAGAGGAGGAAGTGCGCTGTCAAGAACGGGATTCTGACCATCTCACACGCCACAGTAAGTGTCAGCACCGGCATCTCCCAAATATGCTGGGTCAAGTGGACTGGGCCTTCTTTGTCCCAGCAAGCCCCCTCTCTCCCCCGCGGTAGTGCCCTGCAGCCTGTCTTTCTGTTGCGCCACAAGAACTCTTGGTTTGGGTTTTGCTCTTGCTCTGTCAGACTTGAGTCAGGTAAGGTTTTGTCACCTTACCTTTTGGCAGCTTTGTTTGAGTGTGTGGTGATCTGATTTGGGGGTGGGGGGCAGTAAGCACAACCCGTAAGTCCACCTGTCATTAAGCTACTTACTGTGTGCGGCCTCTGGTAAGTGACTTCAGTTGCACTCACTGTCAGTGTTCTGAGAATTGAAGGGAGACGATGCTTGTAAAGCTTCCTAGAACCTCAACGAAGCATCTCTGGTGGCATACTGGGTTATATGCTGGGCTGCTACCCACAAGGTCAGCAGTTCGAACCCACCAGCCCACTACTTATGAGAGAAAGATGAGGCTTTCTACTCTTGTCTTAGAGGATCGTTATGAATCTACTTGGTGGCAGTGAGTTGTTTTTCGAGGCCTAGACCCAGAGCGCTGGAGGTGCCATGGTTAGGTGCTTGGCTGCTAACTGCAAGGTCAGTGGTTCAAACTCACCAACCACACCCCTGCCTACTTCTGTACAGATGACAGCTTTGAACACCTGATGGGGCAGTTCTTCTCCACCCCACAGAGTGACTCCACAGCAGGTTTGGTTTCGTGAGAGCCCAGCGAGAGTCGGAGCTGTTACTACCTTGGTTATTCTTGCCATCTTGGGTGCTGTCGGGAGCCACGTCACCTGGGTTTCAATTCCTCCTCTAACACTCGATCCCTGGTGGCCATTTGTCCCTCAAAATAAAATGGGCCCTCACTCACGGCTGGTTATGAAGATGAAATAAGCTCACTGACAGTGAGTCACCAGAGCAGGGTGCAGGGCCGAATGAGTGCTCAGTGAACGTCCGCTGGCGTTCCTACTGTTCCTGCCCAATGAGTTGCTGCCGCACTTTGAACTGGGGCTTCCTGGAATGTACCAGTCTCTGTCTTGAAGGTCTACCGAAGCACATTTGGGTGCCTGTGTTTCCAGAGAAACTGCCTGTTGGGTTTTCAGCAGCTGTGTCCCCATCAGCAGTATTCACCAAGGCACGCATTTGTCACCTTCCTGTCCTCAAGGAGCCCTGGTGGCGTTGGACTACTAGCCTCCAGGTCAGGACTCAGAGAGCTGAGGCTGCCCACGTTTGTGAAGATGGCAAAGATGCCTTTGGACTCTGGGTCTCCTTTCCTTTATGCGCTTGGACTCTGGTTTTCCAGTCAACCCTGGGGCCCTGGAGATAGCCTCCAGCAGAGAGGGCCTTACAGGAGTATGACACGCCACACCCACAGCAGCCCTCGGACAGAGCTCTCCGAGACAGGACTCTTCACCAAAGCAGAGACCGCCACATCCTCCTCCTAGAGCAGCCGGGGGTCTGAGCCGGGTTCACAGCCGATCACTTTAACCACCAGAGCTCGCTCACTCCCGGAGCAGAGAGGCCTGCGGTGTACTAACAACCAAGTTGCCGTGGCTCAGCCTTCATGGCTTTCGGGGGGTAGGGCTGGGGCCAGAGATGATACGGAGCACTGAGGATCGCAGAGCGGCCAGATTCCAAGCTGGTCAGACTCCACACAGGCCAGTGACAGAAGGGCCTGGGTGCAGTGACAGGGTTGCAGCCTGGCTTTCCTCGCTTGTAAAATGGTGGTGGCATGCCAGCTTCTGAGGATTTTTATTGATTCCTTTGTAAGACAGACCTGGGGCTAGCCACCCAGGTGCAGGGTGACCAGTGGCCCTTGAAATAGAGGGTAGGCAACATGAAAGAAGAGAGCAGGCTACCATGATCGGGAGCAAACAGCACCTCTGGTGTGGCCGGGCTAGCTTACCCAGGCAGCAGACAGAAAGCTAGAAGAGGTGCCTTCCACGGAGGGGAGGAGGGCCCTGTGCTGAGTCTCGGGGGTGGAAATCCTGGCTTTCCTAGGCCTTGTGAAGACTCACTGGGACACCGCTGTTTGGTTTAACAGGTTCCAGCTGAGCACGGACCAGAGAAAGCTTTTGCTGATTAATTCCCCACCTGGCTCACTCACTCT